TGACTTTTATACCCTAAAAAATTCCCGATTCTTTATGGGTAGATCTAGTGGGTTATTTGTCGCCATACTGGCTCTCTGTTTATACTTTTAATACTGTTCATATCTAATTTGACTTAAGTCAAGATAAGTTTAATGGCATACCGGCGCGTAGTTTATACAGGTATAGATTATCGCGGGTATATGAATTAGACTAACCCTTAAAAAATACCCGATGCTTTATAAGGGTAGGTTTGTATGGCCGCATGGCGGCGCGCGGTTTATAAGCGCGTGGCTAACGAGCCGTTAAAGGAGCCGTAAAAATTAATTTTGCTCGTTAATAGTCGGGGCCCATTAGGCCTTCCTGTCATTAGGGCCGGATTTTTCTTGTTTTTTTTTTTTTTTTAAATTTTATTTTAGTGAAACCCGTTCGTCCGTGACTCGGTCGATTTCTTTTCTAATTAATTCGAATCTAATTAATCCGTTAATTGTAATTTAGTTTTGTGTTTATGTCGTTCACTTTAATCGACAAACCGAACGGGATCCCCGGAAATACAAAAGAAATGTCGTCTATCAAACGTCATATGTCAAGAGTCAAATGTCAAAAGTCATATGTCAAAAGACAACAGTCAGGTGTCAAAGGTACAGAGAATGGATGTGCACCCGTCGTAATTTAATCGATTTCTAATGGATTAATAAATTGCGCTTTTAGAAAAAATTAATTTTGATCGGAAAACAATAGATGAACGCTAATTAACCGTCGACGCGTGATTAATAAATTTCATAAACGAAAGTCGAACGGGGCGCGATTTTTCATGTCATTGCGTCGTGATTAATTCCGCATAGTTTCCCGATTTTCCGGCGAGAAAACCGGACAGACATAAAAAATCCGAAAAACGTTATTCATTTCAATTGTCTATATAGAAAACAAATTTGCTAGATGCATGTCAATTGTCAGATTTATTGAACTGTCACACGTCACTCGAGCACATTTTGTTTCAATTGTTTAAAACAGAAAACAAACATCACCTGTCAAAACTGTGAAATAAATTGTCAATTGTCAAATTTATTGAGCTGACAAACGTCACCTGTCAATTGTCAGATTTCCCGAGCTGTCATAGACGTCATTTGCGGCCATCTTGTCATCCATTTTGTGCTATTTATCCTAATCCCGTTCCCATCTAGTATGCTTATAAGCATATAGGTATTAGGTTATATCTGGTTGAACGTCAATTATACCTGCTAAATAACCAGTTCGAACCGGTTACGAAAATGTAATGACATGTTATAAAAACGACCTTCGAATCTATTAAAATTCATTTGCATTATTTATTACCCGTTTTATTTTTTTTTTTTTCGTCCGTTTTCCTATTCGTACCCGCGACCGGTTTCGCGTTGTTGAATTTTTTCCGGTGCATACGGGGGCGCATCGATTAGTAAACTAATATACGGGAGGAATTCGTTTAACACGTTTAACACGTGAATCTACTCCTAAATCTACTCTGAATCTACTCTGAGTGTACTCCTAAATTTACTCTGAATCTACTGCTGAATCCATACTGAATTTTCTCTGAATCTACTCATAAATCTACTCTGAATCCCCTCTGAATCTATTCCTAATTCTACTCTGTATCTACTTTGAATCTACTCTGAATGTACTCTTAAATTTACTCTGAATCTACTGCTGCATCAACTCTGATTTTTCTCTGAATTTAATCCTAAATCAACTCTGAATTTTCTTTTAATCTACTCTGAACCCACTCTGAATCTACTACCAAATCTACCTCTGAATCTACTCTAAATTTTCTTTTAATCTACTCTAAATCTACTCTGAATCTACTGCTGAATCTACTCCTAAATCTATCTCTAAATCAACTCCTAAATCTTCTCTGAATCTACTCTGAATCTACTCTAAATTTACTCCTAAATCTATCTCTAAATCAACTCCTAAATCTATCTCTAAATCAACTCCTAAATCTACTTTGAATCTACTGCTGAATCTACTCCTAAATCTACTCTGAATTTACTCTGAATTTACTCCTAAATCTATCTCTACATCAACTTCTAAATCTACTCTGAATCTACTGCTGAATCTACTCTGAATCTACTCCTAAATCTACTCTGAATCTACTCTGAACCTCAATATTCTCAATATTAATTTAAAACAAACATTTCCTCGACTATATCCAGTAGAATCATCCCCGCAAATTCATTTTTAACACGTCGACTGCCGCAAAATATCGCCAAAACATTACACGACTCATTTTCCCGCCATTTTTCACCCTATTTCGTTTTTTTTTTCTTCTTTTTCTTTTGTATTTTTTTATTAATCGACCCGACGAGTTGACGGGCGGCCGCTTTGCGGTCGATCCGCCCGCTCGATTCCCAACAGGAATCGCAATTAATCCGGGACATTTCCCCGTCCCAATTGACACTTTGATTTAATCAAGCCCAGCCAGGGTTTCGAAAAGCGCAATAAAATTTCGAATTACCCGGCACACACGCTGTCACTTCTCAACGCCCCCTTTCGACCGAAATTTTCCCCGATATCCTACATTATACACAATGTGACGTCACGCCTTATTACCCTCGAACATACTATACCTAATTATGTATACAGGGTATCCCACGATGAGTTAAAACTGTCTGTATATTGGAAACTACTTATCCGATTTAAATAATATTTTGTATGTATATGTTATGCAATAAGACGAACGTGTTAAAAATATTTTGAGAGTCGTATCACTTCCGGATATACCGGAAGTAGGCGTCAACTTTGTTATTTTAAATGGAACGCCCTGTATATTTATATATTTTCGAAATCTACATCAAATTTTAGGGTACTTTTGTCTAAAACAGTTTTTTCAAAAATGCATATTTTTTGAGTTAATAATTTTTGTTTGAAAAATTTGACCGATGCAGACCCTTATATTTTTTTTTACGGGGATACCCTTAAATATATGGAAATTGTTTCTGTAGGGTAGCTACTAGAAAGGTCGGAGGTATTTGAAACTGCGTTGAAAAACTTTTTATTTTATACAGGGTGTGTACAATACATGCGTAAAGTTGAACTTCAAAAATATCAAATTTGTTACTTTTTTTAAAATGGAACCACCCAGTTTTTTTCTATTTAAATAAAATCAGCGGTCAAAAATAAGGGAAGTTCATGTTTACTTCCCTATACCTAAACCTAATAGTTTTGAAATAATACATCGACGAAGTCACGCCTTATTACTCCTGAACATACTATACCTAATCGTGCATATAGTGCATTCAATGTAACACGTCGTGACGTCATCGACTAGTTAACGAGAACATTATTTTTTTTTTGTTTTCGGGATTGTTGTTTGAGCTTGTTTCGTGGATAATTCGAACCGCAAAATTGGATTTTATCGCGGTGTGAATTTCAGTAGGGAAACAACAAGAGAATTCGTTATCAATGAGGCGGTTTTTGCGATAGTACCGCGAACGAAAGATTAAATTTTGATTGTTTGCGGTGGAGGAAACGAAAGTTGTAGGCAGAGATCTTTTGTTATTATCTACCTATTTTTAGGTGTAGTGCGATAAAATTTATTTGGTGGCCGAATGGGCTTGTTAGACGAGGCCAGCTGTTGGGATAGCGATAGAATAGAAGATTTTCTTATGTTAGTAAGAGTTGGAAATTGGCTGGATATCGGTATTAAAAAAGGCCTAATAGTTCATGTGCTGGTAAGGAGTGTTGGTGGCCGAATGCACTTTTTAGAAGAGGCCAGTTAATAACGGTTAATTTGGGCTGGATATCGGTATTAAAAAAGGCCGTTTTAATTCGACCTAATTAGTTCATATGCGCTAATATAAGGAGTTCTCGAATCCTTTTTAATATCCTTTTATCTTTCGAGTATATAGGTAGTTTATTTTTTATTCGCATCGATTTTTTTCCACGCGAACGAATCGAAATTAGGCTCTAAACACTCGCTATATTAAAGGAAATTACCCTTTCGGCAAAAATAAGCTTTTCCTCGTATATGGAAATTACGCGAAATTGCGTTTCGCGGAAATTCGCATTTCCTGGTCGATTTTTTCCCCACATTTTTCCACAATTTCCATGGAAATGGACATGGAAATTTTGCCATAAAAGAGCAAACAAACGGTTCGTTCGAAATTCGATTTAACAGTCGTCATTTAGACATTTGACATTGACGTTTGAAGGTTTTTTGACAGTTGACATGGAAATTTTGCCATAAAAGAGCAAACAAACGGTTCGTTCGAAATTCGATTTAACAGTCGTCATTTAGACATTTGACATTGACGTTTGAAGGTTTTTTTTTGACAGTTGACATGGAAATTTTACCACAAAACGAGCGGTCGCGCCATTTCGAATCGAAATTCGATTTTAACGCGTTCCAATTCGAACCAGTGACTCGATTTTCCCCGTACCGGCGAAAAAAAAAAAAAAAAAAAAAAAAAAAAAAAACCAATCTCATCTGCGATACGTTCTAATCGCCGGTCCGATTAGGCGCGCTCCGATCGAGCGACTTTCCGCGATTTCGGGGAATTACCCGGTCGAGTCTACGGCGGGAATGCGCCGAAAAATCGTGCGGGCACGAAATCGCCGATACAAGAAAAATGCCACCGCTATCGTCGCTGCGCTCCCCGCTCTGTCGGAAATTTCCTCTTTTCCGGAGAGCGGCGGACGAAAAAAAAAATAATAATAATAAATAAAAAAATGAATAAAAAACAGCGCCGTCACGGGCGCGGTGACGAGCCGCTCGGGAATTCCCGCAGGTCATGCTGTTCCGACGGCGAAAAAAAAAAATCGATCGCTCGATTCTGACTCATCGATCGGTGATTTTTTTTTTTATTTATTTATTTTCTCTAAGCTTGCAATTCATCGGTTTTTTTTTTGTTTGTTCAACGGACGAGCGAGTTTTAGAGAATAAGTTTCGAATTTCGGAAATTACATCTTCAGAAGGAAAATCTTTAGGAAGAAATCTTCAGGTCATCTAAATGCTTCTCTGCAAACTAGTCTTTATTCTTTTTTATACTTGATCTTTTACCCACCAGCCAGAAACCAAACTCATTCTTCCTCCTTCTTCTTTTTTCTTCCTTCTTCTTCCTTCTTCTTCCTCCTTCTTCCTCCTTCTTCCTCCTTCTTCCTCCTTCTTCCTCTTTCTTCCTCCTTCTTCCTCCTTATTCCTCCTTATTCCCCATTCTTCCTCATTCTTCCCCCTCATTTACGACCTCTTATCTACAAGTCATTCATCCAAAAAATCGATCCTTTTTCTTTCTTATATTTGATCTCTTACCTACGAAGCATTCAGCCAACAAACGAAACTCGACGAATTTACAACGTTTCCATATAATTTCTTTCTATTCCCTTTCGTATGTACATATTCATTCTACTGAACTTTTACCTAAAGGAATCCCAGGTGCAGCGTAGGCGACGCGTCGCGACGCCGTTTTTACCGGGGCGTCGCGAAAACCGGGATATAATCGCCCCCGAAGGGGAAGAGCACGAGCGCTAATTAACCCCCGGTCGTGACGACGGATTAGCGACGTCTCGTTTAAACTTGTTAATTGGAAAGATCTCCAACCGACGACACGCTCCCTCCCAACAGCGGCGCTTTTCCACCCTCTAAGCGGACGCTATTTCGCTCCTACTACCACATCTGTCATCTGTCACTTGTCATCTGTCATCTGCCACTTGTCACTTGTCATCTGTCACTTGTCGTCTGTCGCTTGTCATCTGTCACATGTCATCAGTCATATGACGAATTTGCTACGTTTAACGGAATGGCCTAAAAGTAGCTTAAGCCTCAGAAAGAAGAGAGTATTTGTCACATGTCGCTTGTGAAATGACCAATTTAGACTTTTCACTTGTCGAATGAGCAATTTTTCACCTGGAGCCATGTTAGTATGTTGTTTATGCCTGGAGCTCGTCAGTTGACGATTTTGTCACATCGGATGAACTACTTGTATAGTCGAATTTGTTGAGGTATCATCAGAAAGACGAATGAATTTGTCACCTGTCGCTTGTCAAATGACTAATTTGTCACCTCTTGCTTTGTCGAATGGCCGATTTGTCGGCTGTCGAACTTGTCAAACGGGTAATTTATCGAGAAGCAGAAATAAATTGTCGCCTGTCATCTGTCAAATATGTCAACTGACTACTTTCGGTGCGGCGGAATGTACGATTCGAATTAACCCGAATCCGGGGCGGGAGGAATATTCAAATTAAATTACCCGCTTCTTCTATTCGCCTCTCGCTCGGCCTCTTTCCCGGCGGCGATCCGGCCAACTTATTTACCCGATTTTTTTGTTGTTCTTCTCGTCGCGTGCCGCATTGTTTTCGAACTCGCGAAACTCGCCAACTGGACGATGCTTTGTTTTATTCTTCTTTTTTTTTGTTCTTCTTTTTCCGCGTTGTGTAGTTTAGTATTTTTTGTTTTTTCGCAAGAGCAACTGTTGCCTGTTCGGATATATCGATACATCAAAGCGGGCGCTGCCTGTGCCCGGATCCGATTAACTCCGGGGACTTTCTGGAAGAGGAAGTTTAGCGAGGAAATCTGTTTCGGTTCGTTTTTAAGTAGCGCTATCGCTTCCATTAAAAGACGATTTTTGACTTTTTTTTCTTGAAGAAAAAGAGAGAAGTTTTAAAAGGAAACAAGAACTGGATAATTTTTGTTATAGTTGAAATTTTGAATGAGGCAATAATAAGCGATCTTCATCAGCTAATTTAGCATGAAGATTGAAGAATAATGAAGATAAACATAACTCGGAATGCTCAAAATAACGCATTAACGGAAGAAATTCGATTAAAATTGTGATTTTTAAGCGTTGATCTTTTTTGCGACACCCTGTATATAGTATCTTCAGTGATCTTCTAAAAACCCAAACCGGCTACGGTGTAAAAACCGGTACAGAAAGCGCGTTTCTAAATACGCAAAATTGGCGCATGCACTTACAAACGAGAAGAAGAATAAGAAGAACAACAACAAGAAGAAGATGATGAAGCAAAATAGAAGAAGAAGAAGAACACCAGAAGCGACGCGCATCGCTCGCGTGCACGGATATACCGTAACCCGCTGCCGGTTAAAATAACGGTCCTCTCTCGGTTATCTTCGATTTTTATTTATTTATTTATTTTTTTTTTTTTTTATCATTTTATTTTTAATTCGTCCGTCTTCGTCGCCAAGCGACCTTCATCGTTCGCCGGACCGCGAGAAATTCGACCTCCAGCGTTGCCAGTTCGACCGACTTTCCCTCGCATCGGCCTACGCGTTTTCTTAAAATCTTCTATAATTTGCTTTTAATCTCTGTATAGTAACTATTTATTTTCCCCTCACAACAATTATTTCGCGAGTTTATCGACCGCCCCTCGTATACATACACGACGTAGCATTTCGAATCTGACATTTGACGTAGCAGCCAGAAGACTTGACGTTGTCTCTCTCTCTAACACATGAGGTTTTCCCTATATGACCATTCCAGAACCGGTTTTATTGTATCTACTCTTAGGAAATTTTTACTCTACCCTCGTAACGATAATGTCGCGAATATTTCGAACGCCCCTCGTATAAATATACGAAGTAGCATTTCGAATCTCTTAGGAAATTTTTACTTTACCCTCGTAACGATAATGTCGCGAATATTTCGAACGCCCCTCGTATATATACACGAAGTAGCATTTCGAATCTCTTTGGAAATTTTTACTTTACCCTCGTAACAATAAAGTCGCGAATATTTTGACCATCCCTCGTATACTTGCTGATTATTTTATTACCGCAATGACGTCACGACGTTTTCGAGTGACGTCACCGCCGACTTAACATGAAACCATCGTATAATATCATCTTACCTACGTCACGACCATGTTATAATGAACTGTTTATACGAGGGGTGGTTTATTCGGGTCGGGGGCGGCCGGTTTTTCCTTTGTCCTCGTTTCTTTCTTTCATTCTGCCTCCCCCCGCCCCCCCCCCCCCCCGTGGGGGCGGCGGTGACTGTGAGAGCTTTGCGATGTCTAGTAAATTATCCAGAGAAGAAAGTTGTGGGGATTCCGGGAGCGCCGGTGGCGGTTTTGCGTCATATTTGGGTTAGTGGAAGAGGGCGAAAAAAAAAATGTAACCGGAAAATTCGATACGGGGGTGGATACGGAGGGGGATGAAGCCCTATACTGTTCCATTTCGCTTCTAATATATCGAAAGTGCTGTAATAAGGAGAGAAAGACGCGTTTAGTTTGGGGATGATTTTTTTTATTGTTACATTTTGCAACCCTTAAATGTTACAAACCCTTATGTTTTACGATACTACAAAAATCACCGCTGAATTTACGTAATTACTCATTTTCTACCTAACGTTTTAACTTAAATATTATTTCTGAAGGGGTTGGTTAATTTAGGGGTAGTTTACTGCACAATAATTCACCCCAATTAAACGTACATCAATCGAATAAAACACAACAAAAGTTTGGGTAATTAATACTAAAGAAAAACTTAACAATACGTTAATTATCATCCCCTAACCGGGGGGTTGATTAGAGTCGCTAGGCGACCATCGATCATCCCCCGAAAAAAATACGGGTAATGCGATTTGGCTCGGAAAAAACGGCCCGTTTTGCTAACTATCGTTAATTGATTTATTAATCCCCTATCGGTCGATCGAATTTTTTTTTTTCGAATTTCGGAAAATCAACCCCTAAAAATCAACCCCGATATAAATTTACGTTTCACTCGAACACAACGTATTTACTACGCAGCGTAATTTGTAAATTCGACCGTTACTAGATTCAACCCTTAATTTCAACCCCTAAGAGATTTACACCTAAGGGTTGAATTTTAATTCCATATTTTTTTTAAGTGATTGTTAATAATTTTTGCCAACCCATTTCTCGGCAAATTCCCGCAATTTCAAAATCCAACCCTCCATGAAACACAAGGGGTGTGAATCACTAAACCACCCCCTTGACGCGATGCAAATGAACGTATGTCGCATCACGTATTATAAATCCAACGAGAATTATATTATAATAAAAATCACACACGCATATATACAGGTTGTCCCCGTTCACCCCCCGAATTTCCCACCCCCGGGGCACGGAATTTTCCGCGATTTTCCCACGCGATTTTCTCCCGCTCGCCGTTGCCCGGAGACGCCGGGCGTCGGCGTCGGCGTCGGCGTCGGCCGTCGCCCGGGCGACGCGGCGCCGTCGGATGGCGGGGAAATCGCAACCCCTAATTCGGGTGATTAATCGATCGATTAATCGAGTGATTAATCGAATGGCCGGGGCCATCGATCAGAATTCTCTCTACCTGGGCTCTCGTTTTGCTTAAAAAGGGATGATTGTAATGGACGCGAGGGGGTGGAGGGTGGCTAGAAATGGCTCCTTTTTTTAATTTAGGGGTGGGAATGTAGGGGGTTGGTTTTTGGGTGAACTTAAATTTGAGAATTATTCGCGGGATTTTTGTTTTGTTTTGTTTAAAGTGGTGATAATTGAAGCGGGGATGGGGGGTGCTCGATTAACCCCTTTTTTGATTTAGGGGTGGGAATGTAGGGGGTTGATTTTTTTAGGTGAAACTGTGTTTTCTTGAGGATTTTTGTATTCGATAAAATTTAGAGGATGAGTTTTTTGATCTCGCGCCCCTTTTTCACCCTCTCTAAGGGGTTGTTAAAAATTTTCCATTTATTTTTCTAGAGGAATAAATATAATATTATGCGAAACAGAAATCCCTTAATTAGCTACTTAAATTTGGCAACGACGCTTCGATTTTCCGGCGCTTTTCCGGGGGTGGTTTTTAAACAAATAAGAGGGCGCTGAGCGCAAACAGAAGCAATGAAATATTTACATTCGAGTGTCTTTTCTAGTCGACGAGACGACGGAAAATCCGCGTCGGAGTTTCACCCGGAAAATTCTATTTATCCGGGGCGAATTTCCACATGGAGAGAGCTGTCAGAAACAACGACGCCGAGATGACGTTATACGCAACGGGGGGGGGGAGGAAAATGCTTCTGAGACGCGTTAAATTGAGTAGGGAATTTTTTTTTTCAAATTTTCCAATTTCCACCGATGCTCGCAGGTAGTAGTTTTTCGTCTCGAGGAAAATTCGAATTTTCCGGGCGCGCGTACGCGGCGTTCGATCGGCCGGGTAATTTCCTCGTTACCGGCGAGCAACAAGTGTATGGGATACAGGCCCGGAAATTTTCCGGAGTCCCTATCGCGGGAAATTCCAATCCC